ACTTTTGTTTAATCAAAATATTGCAACGCAGCCGAAATGAAAGACGACACAGCTGAACGGGAGCAAGTCATCAAGCGCTTGAAAATTGCGACTGCACTATGCGCCCTKTTCATGATCGTCGAGATTTCAGGCGGTYTACTTTCCGGATCTCTTGCCATCTTGAGTGATGCGGCTCATTTGTTTTCGGACATGACATCGTTCGCGGTGGCAATTGCCGCTAGTTATCTGGCTAGTCTACCGCCAACAGCAAGACATACCTACGGTCTGAAGAGGACGGAGTCGTTAGCTGCGTTGTTTAGTATGACCAGCCTTGCATTTGTCAGCATTGCATTAGCTTACGAAGCTCTTCAGCGCCTGATAAGCCCACCTGAGGAAGGGATAGATGGAAACTTGATGACWCTCATTGCAGGATTTGGAGTTGTTATCAACGTGATTCTAGCCATTGTTTTGGGAGAAAACCACGTTCATCTTCCCGGAGGTAGGCTACGCTTCGTCTTTCGCTAAAGCAATGGATGCTCACTTCTTTTCGTTGGGGTTGYATTGATTGGTTCGAAACCAATCAATCGGTGAGATACAATGTATTCTGATGGTTTTCTTTCTACTATTTCATTTTTTAAATATGGACTACGAAAGGCGATCATGGTCACGATCATTCACATGACCATGRCGGCCACGGGGATGATCACGGACATGATCATGGGCACAACCACCAAACCATRGATCATCACGACGYGCACGACCATRACCACCATTGCCACGGCAATAAGGAAAAAGAAAACACACAYGATCACAAACATGAMCATCATTTTCACGATGACGAGGAAGATGGTCATGGCCATGAGCATGGACATAATCACGGGCACGACAACGAGACAAAACACGAAAAATCTCCTCTCATAGTCTCAAAAGGAGGACACGATCATGAAGRGGATGACGATCACCACAGTCACAAGGAGCACCAGCGCAATGTGAACTTGCATGCTGCCTATTTGCATGTCTTGGGTGATTTGGCTCAAAGCTTCGCAGTCTTTTTCGGAGGTACGAATTTTCACTCCTGCTGTACTCTAATTTGTTTTAGGTTCCCGTTTGTCCAGGATCGTAGATTCGCGAGACATTTCTATTCCTGACACTTGGTATCTCCGTTCACCCCTCTTAACGTAATAAATGACATGTATATCAGGAGTTGTCATTTGGTGGAAACCGGAGTGGCATATTATTGATCCTATTTTGACACTCGGCTTCTGTGTTCTGGTTTYCTGGTCAACCATTGGTGTATTAAAAAGTTCCGTTGCCATTTTGTTAGAAGAAACACCCCCAGGAATTGATTGGCGGGAGGTTTACAACGCCATTTCGGCTGTGTCCAACGTATACAACGTGCATGTAAGTAGGCGATGGTTTCACAATGCTTATTGCATCGATCATACCACGACTGGCCTCAACTACACCACCATATTGGGCTTAAYTCAATCTCATAAGATTTTCTTTGTGTCTGTTCACACTCATCGGTTGTGCTCTTCACGGATCAATTCATTTTCTCTAAGGACCTTCATATCTGGTGCATAAGTCACGGCCAGATTGCGCTCTCCGTCCATTGTACTTCTACGGACGAAAATGCTATCAAGAACATAAACAAGGCGTGCTTAAAGTTTGGGATTAAGCACGCAACGATYCAAGTAAACAGGGGGGAGTGCTCAACCTGCTACCCTCCCGACTGTTGCACATCGAAGATAGATGAATAATTATGAACTTTTSAAAATGAATGCGTTTCGAATGAATTATCTTCGAGTGGATGRTACTTATTTTCGTTCTTGTAAATCAAATAATAAMAATCGCAACCACAAGGGATTCCAAACTTTGCTGACCATAACTGATTCCAAAAATTGTAATTACTTATTCTGAACAGAATTTTCATATGTGAAATCTATCTTATTCGATTCCATTTTGAAAAAAATGTAAAATACTGATTAAGACTTATCACGAAGCAACTCAGTGTCCACTCAATAGGGCCTGGGTACTGCAAGATAATATTATTTACCTTGACGTAGGAAGAGATTTGGAATGACAGGTAAAGTTAGTACACCAAAAAACAATTGAAGAAAGTCAAAAGACYTAGACTATTATTTGAAAGGAATTGAGTTGACCAACAAATAAAAACCATTGTCTAGAATAGATAGCAAATAAAATACCACCAATTGAAACCGATAGAAGATCACATGTAGGACACCATTGTACCAGAAGAAAAAGAGCACTCTCAGGTCACTTCACGAGGATATTTTTAGTAATAGTACTATACAGGCAAGGGTGATCATTGCTGGTCTCTTTCTTAATTTYCTTGCATAGTTGRAGGATGATGKAAACATGAATTGCTCACTCATCTCATTCAAAACTTGTATGCAGGCATCAGGACCAGACATGAAGGARTTCTTCTTATTTTTRAATGGAAATTTCATTAGCTGTTACTACTTTATGTGGTGTGTGYCACACACCACACAGACGAGTATCTAAGCTCTACCTACAGTGTAACTACAGTGTAGGTAGGGCTTGGATAATCACAGRGTATGTAGTGTTGTCTTGTTCCCAGCAGCAACTGACCAAGATCTATGCAACATATAACTGTCCTTTTTTGTTGTACTCAATTGCATGAACAATCTCATTGAAAAACGGCCAAAGATAGACCAATATTGTCTACTTGGAATGTTCAGAATGGATTGCTTTTTCATGAGTTACAAGTGCCAAATTTGTGGCATGCATTGTGCCTAGATGTGAATCCAGTTGTAGTGGGATCATCTGAAGGGTGGAAATCAGATCAACAAACCAGCTACGGTAAGGGAGTGGCAAGGATCTGGCTGGTGACATTGCTGCCAACATGGTGTCCCATGGTAATACAAACTCGTCCTCTTTGTTGTTGGTAGTCTCCTGGTGGTTCACATGTCACCTTTGCTGTTTCCATCTTGGGGGTGGGAATGGGTCAACCACAATCATTCTTGTCTGCTTCTTTCCTCAATGGTTTTGCATTGTTCTTGATGTGTACTTTAATTGCCTTCTCAATTGAAGCATTACTAATAAGAACACCCTGAATCGTAACTTTGAGATAAGGATAGATGCTGGCATTGATGACACATTGAAAGGCTTTTTTGAAATCCCCTTGTGTTCTAATACTAGGGAGTAGGGACTTCTTCTTCTTTGTATCTTCATACATATTCTGGTGAGGATAGAAAGAGCAGACACCAGATGTACTTGGCAAAGGATTTGAATCTAGTGGATACTTTATGATGGATCAAGGCCATGGATCAATTCAGTGACTTCCTGCTAGTATTAGTAGTAGAAGTACTTGGGTGAGAGAAAAAAGCTGACAGAGGATTCAAAGCTTGGGGGTACTTGGCAATGGGCTGATTGGCTTGTTGATGGTTTGATTTGAAGTGTGACCACATGTGGCTATGGATCAATTTGGTGGCTCACTAGTATTACTACTAGTACTATTAATACTAGTAGTAGTATTCTCCTTGGAGGTGCTTGTTGGAGGCTCTTGCAAATGCAGGTGCAGATGAAAAAAGTGCAGGAATTGATGAATAGATTATGAGAATGAGCATTTGAAGTATGATAATAACAAATAATACAATGCAGATGGAACCATCATTTCCCACACCAGTTTTTTTGCAGACGGGACAGAAGAATGGATGTCAGGCTACCAATCACCAGCATCATAACCTACATCATTTTTTGTTGATACCTGTGGCAGAAACCCACTCGGTTTTTTTGTTGTTACAGGCAATAGAAACTGACAGTGTTTTTTTGTCAGCAATAAGAGTGATGTGAGAAGGGATGCCATGATACCAATCACAGTCATAATCCACACCAGTTTTCTGTCAATACAGGCAATAGAAACTCACACTGGCTTTTAGTCAGAACAGGTGACATGAGAGGGGGTGATGCCCTCAGATGCCTTGTTCTGAGGAAAATATTTGTTGTTGTGTACTGGAGTGACAGAAAAAGGGATGTTATAATACATCAATAAATGTAAAAATAAAACCACACTGGTTTTTGTGTTGAAGTCTTCTCAACAAAAAATGAGGGAGGATTCTGTACAAAAAGTGTCAAGCTCTGATGCTAGTAGGAGTGTTGAAGTGTTCTCAACAAAAAACTAAGAGAGGATGTATGTTAGCTATTTGGTCCCAAAAATTCCATATCACCAAAAAAGCATTTAATCAAAAATGAGGAATGAGGGGCAAAAACCTAGCACAGGAACTGATAGTACCATGGAACAAGGCACCTGCATCCAGGATCTACCACCAAATGTATTTTTTMACAACAAGAAAAAGAAAACATAAGAATTATCATATAGAGTTGGCCAGCTAATGTACGGTCCCAGTCATATATTACAGGCCATATAATTACCGTGTAACGACTCGTGGGATTAAAAATTGGCTTGTACTGCAGTGTACAGCGGGCACGTGCTGAATTTTTGAATCCCACATTCATGTGACCAAATAGTTTCGCGCACGTGCAAAATAGTTTTTTGCTTTCACGTGCATGCTGTAGGCCTAGTACAAGTCAAATTTTTAATCCCACGAGTCATTACACGGTAATTAGATGGCCACTTATCCACGCACACGTATAATTTAACCGTATAACTGTTTTAGTCTTGAACTGACAGTTTGGGCCATAACTTTCTCCCCAACGGACGCTTAAGTATGATAAGCACACAGTTAAAAAGAGAATTCAAAGAGCTTTCGAATGCGGTGGGGGAGTATGGCATCCAACGAATATTCACTGATATACAATGACGTATATCTTGAATTTCGACTGGTGCGTCTTTTTTTGCTTGGCCCACGCTATATGATAAAAAAAGGAGGAATGAAAAATATAGGGTGGTCTTGCATATTTATTGCAAAAAAAAAAGCTATGGAAAGTACTATGGCAGGGGTGGAGGCAATGAATGTCTGGTAGTAATAGATAGTACAATTGTGTGCAATTTGCACTGTTGGGCTTTGCTGTTGGAACACTAGTAGTGCATAGCAGTACTAATGTTAGTCTTTGTTACTAAAGAAAAAAAGAAACAATACCATCAAACATAAACAGGGAAGCAAACCCATTCAATGCATTAGGAGAAGCCTCCAAATAACTAAGCAAAAGCAAGGGATAAGGTAAATGATGCAAATACCTTGGTGGTAACTGGGATTGTTGATGATACAGTGAGTACTAGTACAGCAGGTAAAAGATGACACGATAGTAGGTACCACTGGCTACTACAACAAGAGAGTGATTGCCAACAAGATGATGGAGGAAATGAWTACTATGAAAAGGCTGCTGGAATAAGAGAAACAGAAAAGTAGTAGGGTACTGGTGCAACCATCAGTTGTTACTTCAGTTAAGGCTTTAACACCCAAATTGTTGACAAGCACTGCCACTACATAGACAAAATATACAAAGGGGATTGGAGCAAATATTTCTGCTGCAAACAAGAAGATGCTTCAGTGTGGCTTGGTTCATTGCAAGAGGATGAAAATTTTCAAAAACATGAAATTTCCCTGCCCATTGATCAACACAAATTTAATGAKTGTGACTATCAACAGGCTATTGTGGACAGCACAGCAGTTATGAACACAGATGAGTTTCAGAACAACTTAGAGTTTCAACTATACTTGGAACAGAATCTGCTTTGGAAGGTATGAATAAATTGAGACACAAGAATGCACAGCAATACACAAGATGTGATTGGGTTTGTATGTAACTAAAAAGAAATGATAACATAACAGATGAAGAATTTAACACCTAACTTGCACATTTGCCTCTTGTCCAACACACACAACATTTGCATCCCTTTGAACTTTCCTGGATTGGTTGGCAAAGATCAATGTGATGGGTAAATTCTTAAACCCATTGTGCCTCAACAGGTCATAGGGAGACACAGGTAATGCAGATTTTATTACTTTTTCAGAAGGACAGGCAATGCAGATTTTTATTACTTTTTCAGAAGGACACTTGTTGGCACTATGGACTCAATGCAAACTAATTTTGATACCAGGAACACCAGGAAATATATGATAAGAAGTGAGATGATGTTCACAGTTTCAGATGAGGAATTTGCTCTTCTACTGCTACATAATAAATAGGAGGTTGTGGTGTACTTACAGCACCACCAGCTCAAAGAGGATCCAAATGTAAAGAGATAGAGAGGAAGGTTCTGCTACTATCAAAGAAATGGAAGAACAAGAGGCAACAAGATGGATGATTACCAGAAGGGACAGGATTATTTCATCTTTTGTATAAGGAGATTTAAGAGATGTGATGGAAACCTGAAGCAGGAGTGGAGTTTGAAAGCTGATGAGACAAGCAGGACAATTCCAAACTGAGAATGGTGGTGGGGAAGTTCAAAGGAACAAATGGAGTGATGTTCAAACTATAGGTCTTTGCTTTTGGAGTAAGTTGTTGGATCATTGTTGCTTGCTGACACAGAATGTCATTGTTCACTTCAAAGAGACGGACAAAGTTGGGATCAACAGCAGGTGGTGTTGCAGCTGGGTTGTTAGTAGTTCCAGCTTGATTGGCGGTATTGACTGGTGGTGGAAAGGGTATTTCTGAGAAGATCACGAAGTTATGCACATCTTTTGCAGGAAGTCTATTGTCGATGAAAACAGGGGACCAGTTGATACAAAGGATAAGGGTATTTTTGTTGTCAGATTTGGAAACAAATTTTATTACAAGGGCAAGAAGATGAATATTGTCACCAATTTGTAGACAAGTGTCTTTGCTAACAGTGACCATGAGAAAGGTCTTGGTGTGGATGATACCGTCAATACAAGATATGTTGACAGTATTGATTGTGCATTTTCTGATGTGGGTGATAGTGTCTTCTTTGATGGTCTGAAGGAAAAGGGCTTGGTCTTCGAATACATCTTTAGCAGCACTGAGGTATTTTTTGAACTTGATTGACGTAGGCATTGTTCATTTTGTCAGTCAGGTCAGGATGCATTGTTCATTTTGTCAGTCAGGTCAGGATGGACGTGATGATTGAGGAAGATGACATCAATGTACTCAATTTTAGGGTAGAAAGAACAGCTACCTTGCTGGGGTGACCTCTTGTTGCTTCTGGTGATAGTCATGTCGAAAAGTTGGTTTGAAGTTTGAAAGTTTTAGTCAAGAAGACTTTTGGGAATAAAATATGTTTTGATTTGGATCAAAATATACTTTATGGAGCATTCTTTGTTGTAGAGCAATAATTTTGTTTTGGTGTTAAAAGTATTGGGTTCCATGAGAAGCTTGGAAAATTGTTACCAGAGGGAAGTTTTACAGCAACGTGTGTTAGTCTCAGCATAAAGTGACACGACCGTCTCGGAGCAGCCACTCGGAGTGTGGGAATGAAAAAGATTTGAGTGACATGCGTGGTTTCGCACGTGTGGTGGGATTTATTTTTAATGCACAAGTGGGAGTTAAAAAAATAAGAGTGCAATTGTTAATGCTGAATGTGTTCCGGAAAACAAGAATGTGTGTCTTGCCAGAAGATTTTATTAATTTTGAAACAATGAGTATTTGGCATCGACAATGGCGAGTGTGTCAAAATGGACGTTTCATTTTGTCACGCGATGGGTGTCGATAATGTCAATTTGTGTTGGAGGATTGATGAACTACTATGAAATCTAAGACCAATCAGAATGAAGATCGAGTGATGTGTGAATTGAATGAGTCAAGTCACTCACGCAAGTGAATGAACTGAGTCATGTTGATCATACGGATCCATAGGATTGAATGAGTCATATATGTAGAGTGTGTATGAATCATAGGTAAGTGTAATATGCATGTGTTGTAGATATGAATCATACCCATAGTCTGATATCCTATGGACAGCACTGTCCTCCTCAGGAATAGCAATCTCCATTGGCATAATTGAAAAATACCCTCATAGTATTACTATGCATTGTATCTACTGGTGGGATGTGCATCCAATGTTGATGGACTGAAATTTGAGCCTGACAACTGCATTGATCTTATCAAGAAGAAGTCACCACCACAGGCACCAGGAGAGTTTCTTCTTCATCTTGTTGGCTGTTGAGGACGATCTTGTTGTTGTTGTTGTTGTTGTTGTTGTTGTTGTTGTTGTTGTTGTTGTTGTTGTTGTTGTTGTTGTTGACTACTATAAGTACTAGCTCCAGCTTCTGTCACTAAAACATCTTGAGAGGTATTCTAGTATTAGTTGGATTTATTTGCTGCTACTGCTAGTACTATCAGCTGCACGTACTAGTTTCTTGTTTAGAAGGAGGATGGTCTTTCCCTGGAATTTTTAAATCAAGTGAGTCGAATAAATGTAGTATTTCGCGTTACATATGAAACGAGCAATCGAAACCAATGAAGAAATTTTAACTGACGTCTATTTATGGTCGCAGATGGTCTTGTATTTACCAATATTGGCGATTTATGAAAGATTCAACGGAAACACACAGCCAACTATTGTTAATTACAGTGCGTTATCCTCCGTTACAAGATGAGATGCRTGCGTTRATARATGAGGATGGTCGTAGATACGATATGAGCTTTCTGTTTAACGGTTKAATCGGAAGTAATGAGCGATAAAATCCCTAAACAACTTTCGGGTATTTAGAACTGATGGAWTAAAATTCGATTTCAAATTTCAATACTTATGACCTGACTTCCAAAGTAAAATACCGTTCAAATCGAGTAGTACAAGGATTTTGTGCATGAAATCACCGTCTCACTCCCAGGATATACGTCTTTCTTTCCTTAYAATTTCAAGTTTTCCAAACCACGAAGAGACAAAAAAAAACAGCTGCTGCTTTGTATCGTATACCAACTTTGAACTCGAACCATGACTGSAGCAACATTGGACACGTCGATGACGCGCCTTGAGGGCATCCAAGAGAAGAAACATCTCTACAACAAGACCAAAATTGCTGAAGCGGAGGCGTTGGCTGCTGAGGCCCTTCGCATGGCGAATGAAGCAAAGCTTGCAGCTGCCCGATTGGCTGAGGTGAAGAAGACCCTCGCCATGTTCTCCAACAAACTTGAATCGGCAGAGCTATCTGTGAAGAAGGACACGCCCGAGRAGACTATCCCCGCCGTTGTAAAGGAAGCTTCCGAAGGGACCGAGAAGGACAAAGTTTCAGAGCCTGCCAAGGAAGAAATAACTGCTGAAGATCCCGTCGTGGACAAAGACACGATCGAAGTATCTGTTTCCGTCGAAGAACCTGTCAAGGAAGAAGCTGTCGTTGAAACTCCTGCTGAGGGTCCCATTGATGCTCCCGTCGAGACTCCCGTTAAGACTCCAGTGGTTRAAGAGCCTGCCGCAGAACCAACCAAAGAACAGAAGTCGGATCCATCTGGTACCATCTCCGTTGCAAGCAGGAAGCGTGAGGAGATGAAGAATCGTCGTGTTGTGTTCAATGCTCCCCAAGTTTTCGCGGATGTCCCAGAAGACAGAACTCCCRAAGCGCCGCTACCACTTACACAGGATCGCAACATCGTCGAAGACTTCTTGGATWCGTTGGGTGTTGATAAGGCGTGTGGACTTGACGACGAAACTCTTGGTTTCACAGATAGACCCAAAGTCGCTCCAGCTCCTGCTCCTAAATTTGAAAATCCAACTCGTGACAACTACGAAATTAGCAACGACGACGTTTTCTTGAATTCACCTTCGTTTAAAGAACAGGTCGTTGCCCGTCAGCTCCAATTGAAGCGGTCTGCATCGAAAAACAGCAGACCTTCACCTGTGAAAGATTTCCCAGACGATTTATTCGGCSCCGATCACGACGACCTTGTAATGTGCGGAAAGCTTGCGGATATTTGTGACCCACCTCAATTTGACGGTGAAATTGTTGTACCAGCACGATTACAATGAGATGGAAACAAAACTTCCACAGAAATATATCACCTACATGTTGTAAAAAGTCTTTTTTGAAATTTTTTTAAACACATCTAAATTCTAGCCATTGTAGATGAAATCAAATAATTTCGAAAGCAAAGAAAAGTGCGTGCGCAGAGAAAGGTACGCTACGCAGGAAGCTGCGAGATAGGAGGCAGAGAGAATTGGAGGGAGAACGTGAATATGTGTCTCATATGGTTCTAAACAAGAGAGGAAACATTATGGAGAACCCAAATTTTACTGCGAAGAAATGGAAGGCTGAAAACCAAGCCTTTGTATGGTGCAGTGTGATGATGTAAAATTCAGCAATAACCAATACTTCGCATGTTGTACAAACAACTTACTTCTCCGTACTATGAGTGTCAACCGTTTATTGCATCATGCTTGATTCAAAAGAACAGATCACCACGCAGATATTTCCTCTGCCTCCTCGGAAATATACACTCTTGCGATAACGAGCTGCGGCCACTCATCGCTTGTGACTTTGATTAGGTTTAAATTCTGTTCGGCGAAAGGAGTTAGGGCTGCGAAATATTAAAACATGGTCCTTTTCATTCCAGTAGAGAACTAATTCCATTTCGGTCCTTTCATTCTGCTTCACACCTCCGAGATGACATTCATCGATATCACTATCATAACCACCTTTGTATTGTTCGAATGCGGAAGCTCGAACTTGGTCACGTGCCGTGTTTTGAACAAAGATCGGAAGCACATGTCAAAAGTGCTATTCGACATGATACTCGAATCTAGAAGACGAGGTGCGTTTTATCTTCGAATCCGTTAAAATACAAAAATGTTGCGATATGGGAGTGTGGTGTGCACCATATCCTTTGAATCTTAAGAATTTGCAGCAGGAGGACAAGTGATATTTGATCTTTTGTTTGTATTATCATAATGTATGTATGGTGTGTCACAAGACGTCTGTTATGTTTCTATACGTTGATCATGATCTGCGATCGTGCGTCAGCCCCTTTTGGCCGAATCAATTCAGCGCTTTTTCATTGCAGCTTCTTTTTGCCGCTGTCGCTGGTTTTCCTTTTTGGCCATGGTGATTTGCAATCTCTTTGCCTCGTCCGGACGGGACTTCTGTCCGTTTTTGCGTCCAAGCTTCCCCTGCAATTTCTGGCTGTAGTACAGCTCGGCATCGGTGTCTCCGAGAACCAGATCGTTGTTGTACACATCGTCGTCGCCGCCGCCAGTTTCTGCGATTCGGGCCAATGATCTCAAGTCTCCTGTGCTCTTTGCGCAGCGTTTGATGGGGGTAACCACAAATTTTGGTCTCTTTTTCGTCTTCTTGGCGTCTCGCTGCTGCGCCGYGCCTTCTGCTTCTTTAACCGCAGAAAGCTGATCCGTCTCCTGGGCTTTTTTCTTCATGATAGCGTCTCGGAAAGAAATCTTCGAGGCGCTCGACCAAGAAGATTGGATCGAAATGACGGACGGGGACTCCGATACCATGACCATGCTCGAAGAAGCAAGGCTGGCAGCACCATCTTGGGATTCGGTTTGGCTGTTGTTTCCAACCAACACCGCCTCGTCGTCGTCGCTGCATTCTTCCAAAACCGTGCGAAAATTTGGRGTCGACATGGCGTGCTTGAGACAGAAAGGTTTGCTTTTGGTCGTGTTGTCATCGGCAAGCCCGATCCTTCCTTCGATCTCTCCTTCGAATGGCTCCACCACGCGGACGGCATCTCGTTCAAAGGACGTTTGAAGAGCAGATTCGCCTTCGGAATCGGGAAGCAATTCCCAATCTCCTTCGTCCTCGGGTGACGGAATTCTTGAGGGCGAGAGTGCGGGCCACTCCCTTGCACAAGGCACGTGGGTTGGTGGAATAGCAGTGGTTGGAGACATGGTTATTTTTTCTTCTGGGGGTGTATGATACTGTTTCTTCCTGTGTTGCTCTGTTTGTCTGCGTGCACGACTTTCAATTAATGCTTGCRGATATAATTGGACGATGGAAGGAGAATACGTAGTTAGAACTTTCGCAAACTGCTACGGTATTTCTGTTTCTTGTCTCCGAGGTAGAGAGGGGGGAAGTAAAGTTGCTTTGAACCGTGGGGATTCTTTGTAGCATTAGAATAACTACCTGTGTCTATCGATTCAAATACGGAGTTATGATCGTCATGTCCGGAGGGAATGACATRTGTGAGGGTTTGACGACGAAGTATAAACGTGCAGGCCCCAAGAAGTATGGAATTCAACACATGACACACGACTTGGAGATCGGGTTTCGTTCTTTCAATCAATCAACATGACGTGATGGAGGGAATGTTGGAATTGAATTKGAAGGAAGGCATCGAGGGGCGAAGAGAATGTAGTACGGTACATAGAACTCCGGTGTCATTATTTTGAAACGTGTGATACAGTAATTCTAGTACGTTATGTTACTGTATCGTGTGCATCATCATGATACGATACCGTGTCGTGTGTTGTAGAAACGTTTGCAAAAAGTAGTACGTAATACAGATGTTATCCGTACGTGTACGAACGAACCAATCACCTACTAGTATTTTATTCGCGAAGAGCAGACGAAATCTTCTGTTTGTCTTGGTGACGAATAGCATGGAAGCCTTCCTTCTTCTTTTCCTTCAAACCTGTGTCATCATCTCTCGTCCTCACATAGACACCCTGGTAGATCATTGTTCAATGTTCAATATATGTATTATATACATTTATCGTAGATAAAAACCATAAGTTAGTATGAAAAGAGTTCCCAGATCACTGATAACGGTCGGGATTTGAGCGGTTTCAATAAGTCGGTATATCACTAAGTATCCTTAACYGAAAAACATTTTGGCTTATATGAATTCTTCCCCGATTTTTTTAAAATTTSAGTATCTTTTTTATTAGACAATCCTAGTAGAATTCAAAAAGAAATCACAGATTTTCTCTCTCTATCGAATAACGGTATTCCATCCAATAATAGTACGGTAATCCTACTGCAGTCAACGTTGATRTTTCAGTGTTGCTACTTGGATGTCCGCCAGTTTTGCACRGCAGGACTAGAAGTCGATTGRTTTTCTGTGAGAGTAATCCTACGAGAAGACGGGGTCCACGCACGTGTGTTTTCGCACGACAAAGACCCAGCTTCTATGAACTGTTTCATTGTCATGATTCAGTAGCTTACATGCACCGCCGGTACAGAGCTCTACAACGCAAAGACACTCATACATGCACATTGTTTGTGAAAACAAACCAAGAAAAATTCCGACTTGGCTCCAAGAATCGTTGAGAAGATGAGAATCCAAACAGCTTCGTTCGTTCTGTTTGTGTTGACGGTAGTCGGAAACGCCCGACTGGGAGATGCCGCACGATCAAGAGYCAATCGCAAGCTTCGTGGGATGAAGGGGCATTTGCGCCAGCAAAATGCTTTGTCCGAAAGCGATTCCGAAAACYATTCCAGAAGAGGACTYGACGGGGAGSACCCGCCTTGCACATACTATTACCCAGCGAAGAAATCAAAATTCAACAAAYACGACGATGACTGGTACAATCCATGCAAAAACTCGAATACGGGAAGGCCCTCTTAYATCAAGACCTTTTCACCGACAGCTAGTCCTCGAATACGACCGCCGTCTCAATTTTATAGTACAACACCACCAGTRCAACGTCCCCCAAGTAATCCTTGGGCCGACTGGATYAACCCKTCCATGGAGATCGAGGCTGTGAAAAATACTCCTCGACCCACCATTTCTTCCCCACCACCAGCTCCTAAACCCACAATGAAACCTACCCCATCACCAGTGCCCTTGCCATCAACTGTCCCCATGCCATCAAATACGCCTCTGGTATCTGWAGAAACATCAAACGAGGTTCAAGGTGATGCTGACGTTTTTGTTGATGAAAAAGAGTCATCATGTCTTTCGGCCAAATCTGGTCAAGTTATTCCGACATCTATYAACTTTACTATATATTACAAGTACGAACTATTGGCCGAACGCAATGCYAATATGACAGATGTGATATGGCCAGAAATCGATCGAGCGTTTCAGCATTTTCTATCATCTGAATTGGTCGAGTGCGAAATGGACGTCGAAGGAGGTGGTGGCGAACCAACATTTGCATCCAGACTGAAAAGCATCTCTCCGAAACCGTTTGATTCTGTTGGATCATTGTACCCAACCGGCTGGAGCGAGAATACCACTGTTGACGGTAATGCAACTGCTTGCACCCACATTGTCCTGGATGAGAAATTATTAACTGAGAGAGAACTTTATTGCGACGTTGTTACCGGATCTGTCACCCTCTACTTATCCGAAGTCGCTTATATGGACGCTGCTAGTAATCCATACGTTCTATTTAYAGACTATAGCAACGATGTGATTCAGTTTCTAAGAAATGAAATCAATGAAGGCGGCGAAGCTATCACAAACTTTATGGACGACAGCCTCGGGGTTMGAGGGTTTTACTTCATTAGCGAGTCTCCCATTTCAAATCTCGGGCCTACTCTCGGTGCACCTGATGCAGCTTCAGATCAAATTGAAAAGTCGTCTGGATCAAGCAGTGAAAAGTTTTCTTCGATACCTGGAATTGCTGCATCCCTGGCTGCAATAACTGTCTTTGCTACCGTGGCAGCTGCAGGTCTTGCCATTCATCGTAAGAGACAACATCTGGATGAGCCGCATGACACGTTCAAATCAATCAACACCCCTCGCACTTACGATGATGATGTGGAATTTTACGGCCCCGAAGAATTGTTGGACATTGATATTAGTGATGATGGAAGCACGGGGGACGACCTGAGAGAAAGAGATGGCAGATCCTCGAAGAAGACACTATTCCCGACGGAAGACAATATTACCAGTCTATCACGCACTTCTGAATAYGACGTACAAGAGGTCCTCGTATCTGATTTTGCTACGGTATGTGACCTGTATGAAACATGCGATCAGCAGTCTATAAATTTCGAATACTCTCAATTAGGGGTACCAATGCGGCTGCGAAGTCCTGACGGAACTTTGAGTAGATGTAATCCCACAAAGTGCAAACCTTCACCGAGAAATCTTGATTACAACACGAGTAATCTTCGTCTTGACCCTTCGATTGATTACAGTAGAATGGATCCAGAGCCTGATGACCAGTTTCCAGACGACGAATCTTCGGTAGAATCTGAATCACATASTGACAACCAACCAATTTCCGAAGATCCAGAATCATCCTCAAAAACAAGAATTGGTCTCAAGGAAAGAGAAAGCAATGAAAATTTGTCGACAAAATCGTCTACGTCCACTRGTTCTGCTCTTGATTACATTCTTTCTCTCGGCTCTTCTATTATGTCACCGCCACAAAAGCCATTCGATGAATCAAGTGTGTCGAGCGCTAAATGCGGCTCTACAAATGCCGTGATTGGACTTGGACAAGAATCTGAAATTCCGCACGTGCCATCAGTGACGGACACAGCTACAAGCCTTTATCTCAAACGCACCACTTTGACGCCTAATTCAACAGCTGTATCTGAATCGAGATCTCTCAATCGCAACTCCACCATAAACCAGAGTTTGGTGAAAACACTGCCGCCGTCATCGTCAGACAATAGGGAGTCMAAAAGCTCTACTGAATCAACACCAGGTTCTAGCAAGAAGACGACTGTTAAGGGATCTCGGTCCTCGTCAAGCAAAGGGAATGAAAAATCTCCATCAGACCGTTTGAAAAATCGACGAAAGTCGTTAGAAAGTCGCTTTCAAAATTATAGACGCAGCCTTTCCGAAAGCATCAATAATTTAGGCGATACTCCCGCTGGTTCCTGGTCGGCTTCTCGTGAGTTTACTCGGTCTGTATCGCTCTACAAGAACTCGGGTCAACCTTTCTCTTCACCAGTGACCAATCTGGCTAATTCGATTCTAAATGCYGGTACCAAAAAGGAACTTAACGAAAGCRCTGTGGATTCACAAGAAAAGCGGCGTTCACAAAGCTCAAAAGCGCCCAGAGTACACAAGCACTATACTTCTCTCAATGACATCGAAGATATTCTGGAGAAAGAGGAGTCAACGAGAGTGGCAGAAGAATCGTCGAGAAGGTCATCATCAGAAAACGAAGGCTTGGAAACMAGCCTATCACCGAACAATCCACAACAACAACAGCAAAGCTACACGTCGCCAGAGCCACTTCAATTCCAACCYAATACTGTCATGTTGTAGAAAGTGGCCAACGTTCACTAAACATCAACAAACTTTTGCAACAAACGTAACGAAATCTRTTTATCTCAATTTGGTAATTATAMAACAAAATCTAACGAAATGGCTCTCTACAATATTGTAACACATGTGATTCTAAAGGAATAATTCATCTACGTTGYAGGATATGAATACAYGCCAACATCTGAATTTCGTTGATCCCCCTCYCCCAATTCCTTTTCAATTTTCAACTTCAGAACTCTACCTCTACTGGCGAAACCTTACAAACGATGATGCTGACTGSCTCTCCTATGAATGCCGAAGGCAACGCTCACGTACAAGGTTTCTGGAAAGACAAAGAAAAATCTTAATTTTATATCAAAACCATAATGCGACACATTTGATGTCAAGCTTTCCCGGCAAAAACTAAAAAATTGTTTTGCATCATCATATTGTCTCATTTAGTGCTTCTGATTCGATAGTTTCAGCTTCTGCCGGCGTCAACTCCGCTGATGCWATGATATCTGCGTTGATTTTTTCTTCTTCTGCCATGATCTTTGCAATCTCCTCCTTCTCCTTTTCGTCATCGCTCAGGTCCTCGCCACTGATAATTTCGGTRAATTGTCCGTCATTGAGCAATTTCCATTTCAGAGTGCTATCACCGATCTGTTGGACAATATCCCGCGCTGCAAATGGGGCGCCTAAYTTTTTKGCAGCATCCGACATTTCTTTTAGTTTTAGCTCATCATTCAACCATAGTGCAACTTCTTCGGCAACAGCTCCTGTGTCCGTATCCTGACAAAATGACCCGAAACCTCCATCCACTACATAGTCCACATTACCCTCCTCTTGGCCAGGTAGAAATGAAGTGAGCATTACAGGCAGAGAAAGAGCAGCGGCTTCCGAAATTGTTCCAGGTCCTGCTTTAGAAATTAGCACATCAGCGGCAACCATGTATTCTGCCATATTTGTCACAAAACCAAGAGGTACAACTGAAACCATACCTGTGCCATTTGCTTCAAGAGATTCCGTTTGTTTGATACTCAAGTTTCCATTTTCTTCAAGTGCGGAATCGTCCACTTCGCTCTCTGAAACGTATGTTTTTCCCTTACTCTCCGATACGGTCCTRTCGGATGGAATTGTTTCAAGAGCATTTATTTTGTTATTTTCACTTCGGACATCGTCGGTTTTTTCCTCGTTCGTTCCATTCTCGATGGCTTGCATCCTATTTGTAGGAGAGGGAATGAACACAGCACTATCGTCATTTTTTCTCATGCTTCCAGAGCTCAAAATCTTTCGTAGGGTGTTGAATGAACCTCCCGCTTCAATGCATCCCGCGTTGAGTGTGACCTCMGCGGCATCTCCACAGCCTCCGGTAAGATCTGGGAACAATGTTGACGCAGAAAATAACCCTAGCTTCTTCTTTTCGATTTTGGAGGTTGTTCTTTTTTGGAAGACCTCACCCCAATCCCGATTCTCGAGTCCTTTTTTGAGAGTTTCGTTTCTGCCGCATACCACCATAATCACGGCATTCACACCCTGCTTGACAAGTTCAGTGTAGAGAGCATCGACGATGTTTGACAACGAACCAACACCTTCTCCTCCACCCATGACAAGCAATGTCTTCCGATCCATGGCTGGAAGCTCTAGTTTTTCTCGAATTTGCCGCTGATACGCTTTGCCACTTTCACTCATCCGATCTCCTAACTTCTCAGACTGGATCGCAAAATCGTGGCGGATTGGAAGTCCGACCAACACCAATTTATCCTCCGGAATGCCCTTCTGACGAGCCAATTCGTGAATCTGTGGTGACCCAACAAAGAGCTTTTCTACACMACCAGAAAACCACGTGCTGTGGGCCGATCCAAGATCTGTAACAACTGTAAACATGGGCAAATGCTTACCTGTCTCGTGGCTAATCTTGGCGCACGAAAGAACAGGGACGCTGGTTTGAAGTGGATGAACACTCACCACTACATCGGGTTTGTACGATTTGATTTTTTTCCGAATAGTACGTTCGCAAACGACAGACATAACTTTGATATTGGTTTCAACGACTCGCTCCATGGCCTTTGAGTTTGATACTCTRTAAAGAATCTTCCATTGGTTTGGGTGAGCGCTCAAGTGTTTGTAGTAAGGGACAATCGAGTTATACGGAGGCAAATACGCCTCTGTAGCAAGATCTAGGAGATCGTAACTACTTCCCTCAAACAGTAGTTCAAACTGCGCCGCAAGCGATTCGGCACTTGCTCGATGTCCACCTAAGGGACGGAAAAGAAAAAAGTGAGGGAAAGTTAAGGGCTGTCGATGAAAACACTACATAAAAATGTTTCAGTCAAGACTTGTCTCATGYGAAGATTACACACCTCCAGTATCCGAGCTCAGAAAGAGTACTTTTAAACCCCCCGTACTGTCCGAAGAGCCACTTGAAGAGGAGTCTCCATCTTTTTTGGCTACTGCGCCTGCATCGTCACCATCATTCGTAGAAGATTCGTTTGCTTCCGGTCTTCCTTCGGTCYTATTTTCGATCGCTTGGTCGAGAGAAGGACTTGGAGTKACCATTCCTTCAGCGCTTCCTGGATTGTGCGAGTTCATATTTTGCTTGGGTGTTAATCATGGACTACTGTGATAGTTTGGAAGCAATAGGCCTTCAGCTCTTCACGAGAAAGTTTTCGGCTAACTTGGGTTGTAATCGGTGTTTCGTGTCGTATGAGATACGAAGCTAAGGAATTCGCACCGATTAGATTCTTCGAGTTGCGTGCTTTCACGTGTTAACTATGCGCCATCAATGCACTTCTTTGTTCGTGGTCTGACACACCGCTACGTTCACGACCCACCGTTCGCAGTACTGTCTGTAATAGTCACCGTTATTAAATAAATCAGGCATCCTCGCTATGATTTCAAAAAATATTATCAATTAGTGAGGCTGCGTACTATTAGAATTGTGCAGTTGACAAGTGCAACCCCTATTGGGGCGGTATGCGCGCAATCACCAAGTCAAGTTCCAATCGACGACTCACTCATTAAAATGCATTCACGAATGGATACGAATGACACAACTTAACGCTTCCCTCCATTAACAACGAACCTCAAGAACAGTGCTTGTACGTACTTGCAGTAGCGTACTATACGAGTACTCATACATAGCGGTAAAAGAACCTGCTCAAGAGATGAGAATACCGTAGAACTAACAACACAATGAATTGTTTTCAGTGGAAATGCTATTACCTACCTACCGTACCAAAGGATCATACGTACTGCGGGAACTAATACATCTCCCTGAGTAATCTGTCAAAAACAAGATTAATTATTTTATGGGTTACAGTATGCTGGCTTTTTGAAAACTTCTTCTCGAACAGTTGTCTTCGATAATAGCACTTTAWACGGCATTATGAGTTAATCATTCAAACCTTCAGTGCCGATAGCTTGTTTGCAAGACTTTCATCTGCATGTGCCCTTTCCGTAGCATTCAGCTTCTCAAGACTACTRTCCTGCCCACTTTTACACCGTTCCATGATGAATTCCACCAAACTTAACTCGGCACCCGAAAACGTCCCCGTTGCCGTTAATACTCGAGCCTTCTTTCCGTCCACAACGGTAGAAGACGATGTTGCGCGAAGACAATGGAACTGGCACACACCGTGCAGTAGCAATCGATGGAATCCGCCAGTGGATGAGTTCGAGTCGAACAAGAATTTTATGATACGTCTCTCAGAACAAGGTGTCACTTCCTGATCTTSGTCGCTGTTGTCTTGTGACCGGGTTTTGTTCTTGTTCTCACGGAGAGTTGTTACCGTGGGCGTCCCCAACAAAAACTCTTGCCATTCTTCGTTTGACCGTTCGTCGGTTTCTCCATTGTGGACTCGGACCAGAAACTCTTCGAGTGTGCTCACAACTTTGGATGCTGCGTATGAATTTTCACACGCTTTTACCACTATACGCCGGAGGCGGGTCTCAATGCGATGAAACCGTTCCAGCGGTGTTAGCATATTGTTATCTGACACGATTTTTCTTTTTGAAGACGATGAGGACAAATGAATATTGTCACTTGGCAGCGAACCCTCAAAGAATTTTTCGCGCACCAGTTTCATGCTACCATCCTCTCTAAATTGTTTCATCGCCTTCGACTCGTGTTGCTTAGGATCCAAAATCGAGCGGTGTTTCGATGCTTCGGCAGATCCTTTCAGAAGAGCATCTACGGCAGCGGCAGATCCCTTGCCGGACGAGAGCTCAGCAGCCAAGTTGACAAAGTTGTCGTTGTTCCAGCGGCGTGTCTTTCGATGAGAAGGTCCTTGTTTTTTACTTTTCACGCGAGCAGGCTCCTGTTGCCGAATCTGTGATCACGAGGACGCAATCGATCGATTTTGATGAATTGTACAGTGTTGTATCGTGCCATTTTGAATTGTAGTTTTGTAGCATATACACAAAAGACAAGAATGAGAAAAAGAAAAAATATGATACATACCGACGATTCAAGACGACTTTTTTCAACAACGAAGAGCAATCAATCTGATAAACTGAGAGGACTCTGTACATCGACTCACACGGCGTGATGCATAGGATGCCGTGTTTGTTCCAACATGGCTACCGGTCCCAAGGCGAATGGTGATACGACGGCCTTCTGTTGTTGCATTGTCGACTATTTCCTGCTGTGCCTCTTCGTGCTCGTGCTGTTCCTCGGATATTCTCATAGGCGTTCGAGAACGTGGGTTTGAACGGGGRCGATTCAGGCGCAACGGGGAAGGACTGCTATTGCGTTCCGCTAACGGCGATGCCATTGCAGCTCCGCGATTAAATACGGGAGTGGAATGTCTCATCAGCAACTCTTCGATTGATGCATCTTCCGTACCCGTATTACCCCCCGCTGGCGTCGTCTCGCTGTTTTCGGGAATGCTATCCGAACGACGCATACGCCTCGCTGCGATTCGAGGACTGTGCAAAGGCGGTCCATCGCTACTGCCACTATTCATCGTTTACTCTGTTTGTCTGATGGTACGATATGTTGGCAGAGAATCCTTCAATTGGTTTTCGAGATCTGGCTGCTGTTTCATGTGGGCGGCGGGAAATGTTTCTTAGGTGCATTGGTACCGGTACTCGTCGAGATGAGTCAATCTTKGTGGGTTTTAGATGTTCGTGCTCTCTCCTGATGATGTGATTCAAAAGTGGCCGTACYCGTACTTAYGTACATACCGTAATGAAACAAAACGCGCAACACTCAGAAACTCCTTCACCACTGTACCGTGGTTGGTACCGTTATCTCCTCAAGCACAATTCCAGTAGAAAAAAAAATACTGTACYGTACTATTGTTGTCTACGCGAGGGAGAAAATGCAACTGGGAGAAATTGCAACTTTTCTACCAAAACTACTTACTGTATTTAACAAGTAAGGGACTAAATTTGTACTTCAGTGCAAATTTGCATTTTCTCCCTCGCGTAGTACCGGGACGTTGGAGCTTTTAAGCAGCTTAAAAGTAGCTTTTAAGCTACTTAAAAGTAGCTTTTAAGCTCCATAAAAGCAGCTTTTAAGCTACTTAAAGGTAGGTTAAGTAGCTTTTAAGCTACTTAAAAGTTGCATTAAAAGCTCCTTGTGCAAATTTGCATTTTCTCCCTCGCCTCGCCTTGCTTACGGTGCAGTTTCGTTGCTGCGTAGAGTTSTACCGTACTTCTACTAATTCTTTTGGACTTCCGCATCCGGAAGTACCGTTAGTWCGGTAGGAAGTACTAAAATCCAAGGTCTTCAGGGCCATTCTTTTTATTTTTTCGGAATATTTCTTCATGCTGTATTGCTTATTGCTGTCACTCGCTGTTCGGGATTTACCACGTGGTACCAAGTATTCGACTAAGTGGTTGTATGGTTCAATTATGTACTTAACCACGTGTCGCCCTCAAGGCAGCATTGGTACATTTAATTTACCAGTCCAGTACCGAACTGTGGCATTATCGTATTACCTGATCCAGTGTTATCCTCACACTGACTCTCAACTTAAAAAGTATTAACCGTTGTATCGATTTCCGACTTCGTTTTTCCAGCCGCCGTCATGTGACTATCGATTTCTCACAAAGTTGCGTGCACGGAGAGTGCAGCATATCTTGTAGAGTAGACCGATAGTATTCGTCTTCAAGACTCTTTCTATACTAATAATGAAACTACAAGTAGTTCTTGCGTTGGCCCTTTTCGAGACGGCCATAGCTGACGAATCTCCGTCATCACTGTTGGAGCAGGTTGGGAAGCGAATTTCCTTGCCATTTCCTAATGAACACCGCATCCTAGGTATAGGGGGACTCGGTTACGACTCTGTGTTCAATAGTTGGTTGGCTTCCTCTGAAAATATTGCTTCGGCAACAAGCCATCCTGGTAATGAAGAGGATCTCGCGCTTCCTCGTATATTTCATATGGATCTTGACTTTCAGAAGGGAAGAATTGATTTTATTTTGGAAGAGTCCATTGTGGTTCAGCCAAAAGAATTTCTGAAGCTCGAAGACTTGGCTATTCTTCCTGATAACTTCAGTAGAAATACCACCGATCGGCTCCATCAGAGCATCTGGTTAGCTTCCGAATCACATTCTCACCAAGCACAAACATCAAAATTCTTTTCTAAGGACTTTGGGCCAACTGATTTAACCTCATTTGATCGAGAGACGTTTTCATCTTCCCGCCTAGTGAGAATCAATGGTGCAACGGGGGAAATACTTGAAGAAGCATCTTTGCCTGAGTATGTTTACTGGGATATGGTGTTTGACTGGGAAAGTACAGAATGCATCGGAGAACGCCCTTTCGCAGGCTTGCATGCTCTTTCGATTGTCGAACCTTCTAGAGAGAACAAATTCTACGGCCTCTATGACAAGCTCATGTTTGCAGCGTATCAGGCTGCYTTATACCAAGACGGGTCTAGTCCAACTGATTTTAGTGAGAGCTCAACGAGGATTTTATTGTTCGGATTGAACGACTTGAAAGGCGAAGACGAGAAGGATAATAACACGGCATCGTATTTGACATCTTTTCGCTATGATACATCCAAGCTTAGCTTAAATAGTAACCAGAAGGATTCAAGGTACGTTTTCAAACACATGGAATTCCTTGATATCAGGATCTGTCTCACAATATTGATGAACCGCCAAAAGTCACTTCAATGCACTTTTTGCTATTCTCGCATTAGATGACAGGTCTTTACTCGTTGCGGAATGCGAGGACCTCACTGGAGTGGGAAAGGCAGGTCAAAAAATTGTCAACCGCATCTATTACGTTGAGATCGATTTTGATGAATCTGTTGATCATTGCCATTCCCTCTTGTACTGTGATGTTGACGCACCAAGCAAGCGTTTGGTTTGGGAGCAAGAAGGCGATTCACAACTGGATGGGATGTCTTGGGGACCTATTCTCGACAATGGTCGTCGTACAGTGGCATTGTCATTCGAGAATGATGATAAGGTTGGGGTTCATTTTGAACTCTATGCTATCGACGAGGAAACTTTGACGAACGGAAATCAGATTGGAATCGTTTACGATCCCGTAGATTATCGCGACATTTTGATGAGGAATCGTATCATCGCAGTCTCAGTTGCCTCAGGTTTATTGGTACTCATTTTCATCCTTCAATTCGTTGGGATCAGGTATTTACAGAATAGAAAGAAGAGCAAGAACGATTTKGAAGTTATCGACGCCGACAATAAAGAAAAGACTACTCGCACATTGAGTTTAACGTTCGCAAATTAYGCACTTGCTACAGCCATGATGAATTCGTTCGTCGTTGGTGGATTGACATTCGGATACTCGGGAATGGTTTTGATGTTGAGGAAAGAAGGTGTTTATGCCGAATTCTGTAGCTGTGGTTCCTTTTGTGCCATGCAAAAAGAGCAGCTGGCTTTGATCTCAACCTTGGGATTCAGCACTGCAGTTGGTTCCCGACTCTTTGTTGGATTATTCATGGACGTCCAAGGGCCAAAGCTTACCGCACTAATCTGTAGCACCATTTGTTTGGCTGGATTTTCCATCCTCGCTGCTTCCCAATCCGAAAGTCTGAGTTCAACTTTTCTTCCTGCTTGGATACTATTGTCTTTGGGTGGCTCTGGACTTCATATTACTGGCTTTCATTTTACATCCTTATTCCCAGGTGACGGCAAAAAGAAGGCATCAGCAATGATTTCGGCCGCATTTGGTGCTTCATCTGCAGTGTTTCCCATTATGCAAATCTTTAACCAGTTCCTGGGGGTCACGATGGTATCGATGATGAGATTCTACACATTTTTGGTGTCTTTGATAGTTATCAACAACTTTCTTGTCCAGCCTTGGTCGAAAGTAAAGAAGGGCGAAGACTTCAAGCCTAGCTTCAACTTCGTAAAGAAAACTTGGTGGAAAAGAGACTTCGGACAAAGACCGACTCTATCTAGTATCAAGAGAGATGTCGTGAAATTCAACTTCTTTGGAGAAGCGATGATTTTCTCAATTTTGCTCTTTTTCCTCACTCACTACTTATCGACAAGTTCCCAACTCATGTACGAAAAGGGTGATATTCCTTTTACCAGCAGGCCCAATGACTGGAGCGACTTCATGATTGCTAGGATGGCTGGAATATTCAACGCTATTGGCTTTATTTGGTTGCCTACAGTCAAGTATGCGTTGACATCACTGCAGTGGTATCAGTCCTATTCAATCCTTTGCATCTTGAATTTGATCGTGATGGCAATAGTTCTATWGAGAAGCTTGGAAATTCAGATTCTTGGATTTGCAATGCTTTCTTTTGGTAGGCTCATGCTTTTCAGTTGCCATCACGCGTACTTAATTGATGTTTTTGGAATCACAAGCTTCGGCACACTGAATGGAATATCATCATTCATTGCAGCATCGGTTGGATTGTGTAGCTATCCACTACAGCTCTTCGCACTCCAGTCAAGCTACGCTATTGCATTCCTCCCTATTGGAGTCCTTCTACTGTTGTCACTATTTGTACCATTCCTCATGTGGAAAGAACACAAGAAGTCTAAAGAGCTTTCAAGAGGCACGTCGGGCGATTTCGAAACGGAAGAAATAGATCRATGCGACAAGAACACGGTAATGAATTGGGCAGAGACTGTTTCTGTCGATCCCAACACCTTCCGTTATCCAGAGACAGTTGACGAGGTCATTGCTCTCGTTACATCCCATAAAAAAATCCGTTGCGCTGGTGCTCTTCATAGTTGTGCTCCTCTGATCAAGTCTGAAGGTATCATTATGTCGCTCACGAAACTCGAGAAAATCATTCACATTGATCCACAGAATATGACTGTCCGCTGCCAAGCCGGAGCAAGGATTCATGACATTTGTACGGCGATTGCTCCCTACAATATGGCAATGGGCACCATRGGTACTATCGACTGGCAGACGATATCAGGAGCAGTCATGACTGGTACACACGGTGGCGCATTGAGCATTCCATCCATGCACGCATTCATCAATTCTTACACACTGGTAAAGCCCGACGGTTCTATGGTCACGATTACGAAGGAAAAAGACCCGACTCTTTTCAGTGCCATGGCGCCGAGCATGGGTGTCTTTGGATGCGTTGTAGAATTGGAAGTGCAGTGCGTGCCCCTCGAGATCCTGGAGGCGAAGCTGAAAATGGTCGAGTTTGCTGACCTGGAAGATACCTTTGAAGACTACATGCGTCAGMACAAGTACKKTCGAGTCGTAGTTTACCCAAGCATCGGGAAGGCCACTGTTTTCACGGGAAATCCTGTTGCATCCAGAGCAGATGCAATCAAGAGAGGTGCAATCGACTCACCGGGCTATGCCAACTTCCGAAACAAAAAAGAGAAGCAGATGCTCGAGCAGTATCTAGAGCTCTGCAACGYGGGCGACTACGACAAGGCCGACGAGGTATTGGAGGGGGTTTTGGACTCCCAGCTAGGGCGCATGCATCACTACGTCGGGCAATACAACCACGTGCTGTGCAAGGAACGAAACAACGGCATTCCGCACGCCGACATCGAGTTCAACTTTGACATGGAGAAGAACAAAGAAGTGCTCAGGACCGTCAAGGAGTACTCCGACAAGAAGCGCATGCCGTATTACAACTTCGAGATCAGAACAACGAAGCGGGACGATGCCATGTTGAGTTGTTGCCAGGGCAGAGACGCAATGTGGATCGATTTCCAAGCAAAGGCCGACGTGTCGAGGGAATTCTTYGGCGAGATGGAGGAGATTTTGAAGCCGATTGGCTTCAGGAAGCACTGGGCCAAGGGCATGGACAACACGGATCCAGAGTATGTGCTCCGTCAGTTTTCGCAAGTGAGAAAATTCTTGAGTTTGATGACCGAGATCGATCCAGAAGGGAAGTTCCGAAATACCCAGAGCGAAGGTTGGTTTCRGATGATGGATAGTGCCATTGCCAATGAAAACCGCGAAGAAGTTGTCGAGTGTTGAAAACATTCAAAAATTGTAACATGAAAGCCCTTGGCTCTAGTCGCAAGAATGGCTCAGACTCTCGTGTATCGGGATACGGTTCCTTCCTAGGTTCGAGTGCTCGAAAATGTCTGTTTGATGTAGTAATGAATACAATTACTTAGTTGGTGTTTAATTTTGTCAAAGTCRTTATTTGAACTACGCGCAAGAATTGGTACAGTTTTGGTTTTGTCGAAAAAATTGATTGTGCTTCAAACAAAAGGTTTCTTCTTCAGGGGAAGACGGCCACCCGGGTCACAACGAAACGAAGCGGCGATGCAACGGTGTGGGCAATGCGGTTCGACGATCCACCGGTTGGCGATTCGGACGGAACCCTTGGGTCGTGCGTCGTTTGCCTCGTCGCCTGGCGTCCCTGCCCCCGGCCTCGCCATCCTTGGCGGGCACCGGTAGCTCCCCCTCGGCCACGAAAGCGCCAAACACCGTGCCGCCCCAGACCAACCATCCGGCTCGCCACGAATGCAATGCAATGTCGTGTCGCGCAATGCCGTGCAATGCAATGCCGTGGTTGGTTGGTTGCCTTTTGGGGTGCCCTTCCGTTCGTCAGAGCGGACCACGCATCCGGTCCCGCAGCCGCTCTCCGGCGCCAGCGATTTGCTCGATGTACCAGCGCGGGTTCAAGACCGGCTCGACCGTCGGGACCCGCACCAGGTKCACCCCGTGGTACGCGGCGGTTYCCGCCCCCGAGACGRTTTCGAAGGAACCCCCGGATTCCCTCCGAACGCAGGCAATCCCGTCGTCGGGGAGGCCGTGGATGTTGTCGTCGAAGAGGAGGTGGTGGCCATAGAGCGCGCCCGGTGTGYTTCTTCCCGTGTCCGGGTATTCCGGGACCCATACCGGTTTGCCGGCGGTGGGGCTGTAGTCGTGCTTCTTCCAGAAATCGTAGTCGTCGCGGATCCCAAACACCCCGTGGCCACTGCCCAGGAGCTCGAGGATCTCGGCGTCCCCCGATGCCACCAGCTCGGTTTCGTCGTGGTAGTTCCAGAGCTGGTACACCGCCTTCTGCGGGGACCCTTCTTCGCAAGGCCCGTCGCCCGTGTCCGCGTCCGGGGTGTCGACTTCCTTCCACCGCCCCTGGTACAGCCGGTCCCTGGGCAGGCAGAGAGACGGAGCATCGATGCCCGGATAGTCCGGGTGTTCCCCCCGGGCAAAGGCCGTCACCTTCTCTGCGATCTCGGGCAGGTCGCTTCCAAAGGTCCGAAAGACGACCGTAAAGGGTGGCGGAGGTTGCGAATCGCGTSCGCCTTCTGYGKTGCTTCCGCCGGTGCTTCCGCAAGGGGTTTGTGCCTCTGCCCGTGCCGGGCCGCCGATCAGGTGGCACAGGGTCTCGTAGAACGCCGGGAGAATCGTGTCGTTGCGTCCCTTGGTTCCKTCCGCGTCCGCGTCCCGCGTCGGTTTTGTTTGGATGGTGGGCGCCCSCGCCAGGGCGGCCTCRCAGGCCTCCAGCACCGGCTTGTAGACCGCGCCGTCGTTCGCGTCTCGGGCAAAGGACTTGGCGTGTTTCTTCGAGGCCGTCCGGTAATAGGGGACGCAGCCGGGGGGCCACTCGAAGCCGGTGTAGAGCTTCGGAACGGAGGTTTCCCCCCCGATTTCCTGGCCGTCCCACCAGTGGGTCGGCGTGAGGGCCTTCGTGTCGACCTTTGTGGTGTCGCCAGAGGCCCGCGATGCCTCCGGTTCCGGAATGCGGCAAAAGGCGGACTTGGCCAGCATCTTGTGCGTCGATTCGTGGCGGGAATCGCCCCCGGCCTCGTCCCCCAGGAGAATCGTCTCGTTGATGTCAAAGTGCAGGAACAGGTGGGYCGGGACCGGTTCCGTTGCGGAGGACCGGGTGGGCGGGGGCCCGCCGTCCTCGGTGTCGTCCAGGGAGGACACGATCCAGGACGACGGGGGCRAAGACATTCTTGGGCAATCGAATCGCTGCTCTCGCCAGAAGCCGATGCCGGGCGTGCCTGGGTGTGCCCGAGCGAGGGGTGTTGTTCCTGCGAGCAGCGCGTGCACCAGGCCGCGATCGGTCTTCCTCGGTGTGCTCGAGGGGGAAAACACCGCCGCTGTGGATAGCGCCAGTGAGAATGCGAATGCGAATTGGAATGGGAATGGGAATGCGAACGAAGACGGCACCGGGGTACCGAARGATGACCAGAAAGCGGGAAATATCACCATTGACAGGAATGCAATGGTGTCCGGTTTGATGAATCGATTCGAATCGTACGCCACGAGAATGGTCGTGACGTTGACTTTGCGGAACGCTGGAATAGATAGATATTAGAAATTCGGAAGTGCARCTGTATCATGTGTTCAGCGTCGTGAYTGATATCTAAAAATATCTTTCTGTATTTCAACGGCTCATTCAACTCCTAAATTTTTCGAAAAATCCGAAAATATTTTGAGACTTTTTTTTCGAATTTTTCGAAAACACAGGTACAACAAGAGATTTTTCAAATTCATCGCATGTGTGGATCTTATCTTGGAATCGAGCCTTTATTTTCTTCTCCCCCCTCTCGTGGTCACTCTGGAAAAACGCAGAAACGCAATCGTCATTTATTCGTCACATCATACCATACACTCGCTGTGTACCGGTACAAGTACGGCACTCGTACGTTATCATACCCCACCATACGGTACCCGTCCTTCCCGCATTCTAGTTTGGCAACCAGGCAACCAAAAAGAAAGACCATGAGCCGCACCAAAGCCATGATCGTCTCCCAYTCGGTCGTCTTTCTCCTGGGCGTGACGGCCGCAAAGCTCTACGACCGGGACGAGCTCAATTCCTACCGCGGGGCCTACGAGAAGCCCATGCAGCGGTTCCGCCGGTGGGCCGGGAACGCCGCGATGGGAACGGTCGCGCTGGGATCCCTCTGGGTGGCCCTGGCGGTCGCGGGCAGGGGAGGCAAGAAGGAGGACGGCGGCGGCGGTTGCTGCGGGACCGGCGGGATGGCCGAGTCGAGGTGAGGCGGGGCGAGCCGGGCCCAGCCCAGCCCAGCCCGGAACGCAAGGCAGCCCAGCGCAGATCGGATCCCAGCGATCGACCCAAAACAAGATCGGCGGCAAGGAGACAGACCACTTGGGGATTTCGAGTGGATCAATCGCGGTTCGTTGGTGGGTTCTCGCACGAGACGCACASCATCGGACAAGCCCGCCCACCGAGTGGACGGCACGATCTTTAGTCGATACCGATGTGGTTGGTTTCCCCCAAAACGTGCCGAAACAGTAATTTTATATAATGTACGCATGTTTTAATTAGTTATGTTGGTGATTATAAAGCCGAACTCTTGTCCGCACATGGATGGATCGCGATGCTTCCTTCGTCCCGTTCTTAGTTGACTTCCACACCCATGATCCTGGCGATCTGGGGCATGTCCTTGTCTCCTCGTCCGGACATGTTGATGACAATGTCCTTGCCGGGTCCGAGTTCCTTGGCCAGCTGGATRGCTTGGTAGATGGCGTGGCTGGTTTCGAGGGCGGGGATGATTCCCTCGTACTCGCACATCATCTTGAATCCCTCGAGGGCCTGGTCGTCGGTCACTCCGACGTACGTGGCGCGTCCGGAGGCCTTGTAGAAGGCGTGCTCGGGCCCGACACCGGGGTAGTCCAGACCGGCCGAAATCGATTGCGTGTTCAGGGTCTGGCCCGAMTCTTTCTGGATGATGTACGTCTTYGCACCCTGCAAGACTCCGGGTGTTCCAACCGTGAGCGTCGCGCAGTGCTCCTCGTCRAACTCGATTCCCTTTCCGGCGGCCTCSGCACCGTAGAAGGCAACCGACTCGTCCTTTTCAAAGGGGGCAAAGGTTCCGATGGCRTTGGATCCTCCTCCGACGCAKGCCACGAGGGCATCGGGGAGACGGCCGTCGTTCTTGGCCGCGAACTGCTCCTTGATCTCGTTTCCGATCACGCTCTGGAAGTCACGGACGATGGTGGGGAAGGGGTGGGGACCGACCGCGGAACCAATGAGGTAGTGTGTGTCGCGGACGTTGGTGACCCAGTCGGCCATGGCCTCGTTGATGGCGTCCTTCAGSGTGCGCTGTCCGGCCTCGACKGGGACGACCTTGGCACCGAGGGTGTTCATTCGGAAGACGTTGAGCTTCTGGCGCTCGCAATCGACGGCACCCATGTACACGGTGCAGTCGAGTCCGAGCATGGCGCAGACGGTGGCCGTGGCGACACCGTGCTGTCCGGCACCCGTCTCGGCGATGATGCGRGGCTTGCCRATGCGCTTGGCCAGGAGGGCCTGGCCGATGGCRTTGTTGATTTTGTGGGCACCGGTGTGGGCCAGGTCTTCTCTCTTCAACCAGATGTTGGCACCCCCGGCAATCTCGGTGAGGCGTTCGGCCTTGTGGAGGGGGGTGGGTCCACCCACGAACTCGCGRCGGTAGCGATCGAGTTCCGCCAGAAATTCGGGGTCGTTCTTGATCTCGTCGTAGGACGATTCGATTTCCTCAAAGGCAACCGAGAGGGTTTCGGGAATGTACTGGCCCCCAAAGTCTCCGAATCGAGCCTTGTCGTTCGTTTCCGCCCACACCTTTGGAACCTGGCCCAGTTTCGTGGCCTGTAGCTTGGCGTCCTCCGATTGCTTGACTCCGGTAGCCAAGTGGGAGATGACCTTGCGAACGGCATCGGCCTTTTGTTCGGTGGTGGCATCGTCGCCGAGCTCCTTCATGGCATTCAGAATCGAACTTCCAACGACGACTCCGTCCGCCATGTTTGCAACCCCGTTGACCATTTCGGGCGAGGAGATTCCGAAACCAACCGCCAATGGGAGGTCGGTTGCCTTTCGGACTCGGCCGAGGAATTCTTCCAAGTCGGGGGGGAGTTCCGATCGGGCACCGGTGACACCGGTGACKGATACRCAGTACAAGAAAGTGGTGGCCATTTCTGCCAGGGCGGCAATTCTCTTGTCACTGCTGGTAGGAGCGACGAGAGGCACGTTGGAAAGACCGTAYTTCACGCACGCCTTGTTCAGCTCGATGCCCTCCTCCGGAGGCAAATCGACGACGATGAACCCATCGGCACCGGCCTCCTTGGCATTCTCGCACAATCGATCTTCGCCGTATTGAAGGAAGGGGTTTACGTATCCCATGAGCACGACGGGAACGGTCAATCCCATTTCTCGTGCCTTCTTTACCATTTCCAAGCAGGTATCGATATCGGACGTTCCGTTGGCAATAGCAACTTGGTTGGCGGCCGTGATGGTTGCGCCATCGGCTTGTGGATCTGTGTATGGGACACCAAGCTCAATAACGGAAGCTCCTCCCTCTTGCATAGCCAAAAGGATGGAGGGAGTGTCTGTTCATTAATCATACCATTGTCRTATTCAATTATCATTTTTCGAAAAGGAAATCATACAGAAATGCACCGATCACAAATCAAGAAACAAAGTCAAAAAGTTAGTCTTTTCTCTCTTCGCTGACTTCGAAACGTGGACCGGTCCAAAGTCGACGAGAAACAAAAATATGTCGTGTTACTGTTACAACGATGGATATACCGATTAACCAGTGTCCGTGMATTTTTCCAACATTCCAATCGAAATAAACCTCGCACACACCTTCTTTGGCAGGGTATCCGGCGGTGATGAAAGAAACGAATGCGGCCTCCCCCTTGGCCTTGGCAGCTTCGAAAGCTTCCTCGAGACGACCTCCCATTCCTCGCTCCATRTCTGCAACTGCAATTGTCTCGCTCGAGGCCACATTCAGTGCAAAAGCTGGTCGTTGCTTAGACTTCTCGATGTATCCCCCGGTGGTCTGAATCGATCTGGAGAGGGTGGATCCGGAAATTCGTTGTTGCTTCTTGGAAAAAGCGGAGAAGGCACAGGTCGACGAGGCGAAGGTGCAGGCCGCCAGCCATGCGGAAAGTGACGTGATGCGCATTGTATTGGTGAAATTAAATCGAAAGAGAGGGATTGTGATGACCAATGTGTTGTATTGGCCTCCGTGTCTGTTATATAATGAAAWACTACTGGAATAAAGTGCAGGTTCCGTGGAACCGATTTCCCATACCGAACGGTGATCGGTTTCATTCTGCAAACTCGTTCTTTCACCCAAAAACGTATTTGCAAACATGTACGGTTTTCCGTAGGTTCAGGTCCAGCGAACGAATCCAGGTTTCGATTTGGGGGAATTCCTCGTGACAAAAGGATGAAATTGATGGTAACCGAGTTGAAGTGTGTGGTCGAAATAGTTGCTGTGTGACGCAGCGGGCGCAGTTCTTCAAAAAATGGAAAATCGGGTTCGAAGGATTGATTCATTCGACTCAAATAGAAGACGGAAAAATGATTTGACAGAAGATGGAGGAACGAACCACTACGAGTACTACGGTACTACGAGTAGCAATCGAAGTGCTAGGACTAAGTATTCTAGTAGTACAGTAGTGGAAAAAATCTTTACGGACTGTACCTCCAAAGGAATGTTCTGAAACACACACCACACCAGCTACTAAAATTTTGGAAAGGAACAACAGTGCAATAGTACTACAGCTAGTATCATCAGGGAGAGGAACTACTAGAAATACAGTGAAGGTTGTGGTACCTCTTAAGAAAAAATGAGAAACGAGACATCGCCTTCTTCAATGATRCATTGTGATTTCGTTTCTTCAAAACATGATTTCCCCAATGTAAATGTGTGCCCTGCTATTGTTTTTCACTTCTATTATGTTGTTGGAACTTCGTGATCGCAACGAAAACTGCACTAGTAGATGGCATGCCCGTCCGTACTCTTGCTGAGGGATWTAAATTGGTCAGTGCAGCACCTCGGTACGAACGGTTTGCCCTGTTGGTTTCATYGAAACAGTACCAGCCTTTTTCCGTTCCGAATATGGTTATTGCTGTTGCTGTTGTTGCTATTTCTTGCCGCCTCCTCGTCGTCCCGGCTTCTTGTTCATCATCAAATCCATCATATTGCCAAGATCCACAGTTTCCTTCGTTGGAGTTTTTGTTTTAATGGGGGTTGGATCCAGCTCTCCCGTCATGACGCCATAGGCCACCCGAACGCCCATMCCGAATATTCCAAGACCGGTAACGCCAAAGAATCCACTCGCCAGAGAGATCATCCCCATGACRACGTTGCGAAAGACCTGTGCCGACCTTAGCACAAAGTACACCTCGGTCTCGGGCGGATGCAGGGCAAAGTACCCCCCAAGTTTRTTYGTCGCGACCCAYAGTGCCGCTGCCACACCAAAAGCAAAAAAGGACCCAACAATGGCCACGATGGGATTCACCCCGTTCAGGTCTCGGGCCTCGGCGATGGCCTGTTGTATTTCGGCGTCGGTTTTGCGTGGCCGTCCGTAGCCATCTACCAGGCTCATGGTCTTGCCTTTGGATCCGWATTTTTCGGTTTGTTCCGCTGCTTTGAGCTCGGCCATCAATCGTTCDTTGATGGTATTGGTGGCGACGGCGGTAGCAGCTGTCTTGTCGGTGTCGTTTTCGTCGTCGTTTTTGGTCTCGCTCGCGGCCTCGTTCTCCCCGTCCGATGATTCGTGCAAAACAATTTTCGGTGTTCGCGGGCTCGAAGGACTGCGTGTGGTGGCAAGCAATGTTTGCAGTTCGTTTTGGGGAGAACGAGAGGCCAAAGAACTCGTGCCGACGGTATGAAAGGCGTGCGATCCCGCGAGGAGAGGGGCGGCTAGCAGGACGCGGGAAAAGGTCGTAGCTGTAACCATGTTGTAGTACTGGCGAAAAGTTTTCTTTTTTAGGCTGTTAAATCAAAAATAAGAGAGATCAGTATGGCTTTCAAATTTCAAATTTCACTATTGGCTCTTCTGATTTGGGTAACAACAGTATCGTCGGTGATACGGAAGGGGTGCGTCGAAGGCTGATGGTATTGCATTGATGCATTCTTGGCGATTGATTCTGTCGACACCAGATCGGTTCAATCGAAAAATCGAACGCGACGAAAAAATAACGATGGCGACACGAAAAACGTCACATCGAAGTTGACAAACTACTGTCTGTGCTGTGTACGTTAGGGCCCTCCGGAACCAACCCGCACCTCCCCCATTTTGGATTTGTCCCTCAATTTCGCGGTTATTTTGTCAGGGAAAAAATCCAAAAAATCCAAATAATTGTTTWTGTTTGATACAGTAAGCGCTCACCACAACAACAAAGCAAACACTGAAGAGATCAGATCAAGAATTTCCTGGGGATGGAGGAATAATACTACTATTATTCTTWGTTCATTGTTACTAAGATGTCGGGTTTGCGCAATGGCACAAATAAAGTACAGAAGTGCAGCAAGTGATGATCATTTGTTTGCATGGWTGGGAAAGAGCATCCAGTACTATTWTTTTCTGTTTTTATTACTTTGAGCATAGCTCCCATCTACCGCTCTAAATACCTCCCAAKTCTCCCAATCCACCAGGTTTGTCCTTGTTTAGCTCTCCGTTTCGTTGCTTCATCATGGTCTCCCCGATGATCTTTCTAATGTTGTCGTCGCCAGAGTCGTACATATCTTTCATCATGTCCATAAGGCCRGCCGAGGGATCTGCGTTTCGCTTCTTTTTTGTTTTCTTGTTGGGATCCGTCAGCTTGCTCCAGTAATCAAAACTTCCGTATTCGCCCTTGACTTTTTGGAGTTTTACGACAATCTTGTCGGCCTTGACGATGTGCTTCGACTTTTCCGGAACAATGTCGTGTTCCAAATCTTCTCGTTTGAGGCGATAATTCTTCCCGTTTAAATTCGTCACGGTCACATCGAAGGAATCCTTGCCAAACACGCACCGRATCTGTTCCTTCTTGTCGGGAACCGACCCAACTCCYGGGAKGGGAAGGTACAGCGTGACGAATTTGTCACTGCTGGTGCCTGCGTCAAAGGCAAAGCGGTCGATGGCATTGTACGTGGCCGACGGGGTGTGGATTGGTGCGGCGGTGTTTATAGGTTTCGCAACGGGCGCAGCCGGGGCGGGCGAGGCAGCGGGTTTCACCGGCTCTGCTGCCTTGGAAGAAGGTGCAGGCGATGAAGATGCCGACGACGACGACGAGGCGGAGGATTCGAGAGCTTTGAGYGCGGATGCCTCCTTCCGAATTTTTTTGATCAACGACTCGACCTGCATTTTGGCCGTGGGCCGTGTCAATTGCGACACGATTTTCTCGATGTCTTCTGCGTCCCAGAGTCGTTCCTGTGAAGGGGGAGGGGGCGATTCTTCATCGGTGATTTCTTCGACGGCAACCATGGTGATTCTTGTTTGTGATTCTGGTTTGTTTGTGATCCGTCTGCGCCAGAGTTGGAAAGGGATCGGTGTCGGGTTTTATGTCAATAACCTGGAATGYTGGTGGTGCTCGGGCTTTGTGTTGGCAGCGAACTCGATCGGTAACAATGACATYGCGGTTTCGGAGGTCGATGTTGTGCTCGATGGACGAGAGGTGGGAGACGATGATCATGGTATCCAATTGATTTTTTGTTTTTTCTCTTCGAGTTTCGTTGGTCTCGTGAATCGTTCAGTCCCGAATCTGATTGAATCACAAATGACCCGATGTCCGTGATCGTGATGATAAATAATTGTGTTCTGTGTGACCCATAAAAGTAGTCTTACACGAATAACTCCTCTGCACGGTACGTACCGTACTATACGCTAGATACAGTGGTACAGTACAGTTCTCGTCCGGTTCGCACCGCTCAATATCCCAAAATAGATCATACCKTTCCGTACTGTAAGAACTTGAAGAGACAGGTCTCAATCAACCGTCGCWAGATAAAAGACTACGGGTACACTCATTATAACCAACGACCTGGTATTCTCGACTGATTATTATCTAAACAACGACAACAAGAAGCATTACTCCTAATAAATCGACAATGATCAACCAAACGAGAAAAATATTGTGTTTCTTGCTGCTGATTGCCACTCTGCTTTCCGCGGACGCAGCAACATCGACGGTATGTTCCATGAATTGACACGTTGTGTCTGTGGGGAGTGTGTCATGGTGCCGGTTTCTCTTTCCTTGTCTCGAATGCTTTCTGATGAATCCTGGGCACATGACAGAGAGACCTTCAGTGCGTATGAGTGCATACCAATACTGATGTAAAAGTCTWTATATTTCGTTGATTCGTTCGTTTTTTTCAATTTAATTCGCAACACACTTTGATCATCACAATRCCGAACACAATTGTCACACAGAAAGAGAAAATCTTGGCCGATCGAGCAAAGCGCGTCGTTCACTTGGAGCATTCCATGGCACAGGTACAGAAACAACTCGACGAYCACCGAAGCCGTAAGAAAAGATACCCCGCAAACCGTGTGAAATCTTTGGAAAGCCGACTGGCTTCTTACAAGAGCCAGATATACGACTACTCCAGAGACCTGACTGAKGAGGAACTCGAAGAMCTAGTTGTGAATCACCCGGAGCTTTAGATTGATCCAGTGCCATGTATTGCTGCACAATCMAATCCGTGGCAGCAGCATCAATTTTTGGTGTATTATTTGTGTCCCGTCCATCTATTGGGAGACTTCGAGGGGAAAAACTTACAAGAGTAGGATGTACGAATTTCATTGGATGRCAGAATCGAATATACACTTGTCATGATGTTTTCTGGGCGTTTCGCAGATCTGAGATTTTCGATTTCGAAACCATTGACGAGAGGCAAAACACTATATTGGATTGCGCACCAATGCGACGTGCACATACAATTCGAACGAAACTAACCAAACAATGTTATAATGAAGTACAATACAACAAGTTAAGAAGGGCAATATATCGAAGTATGATTCTCTGTTAGGACATGCTGTTCCTGGTCACACATTCACTGACAYTTGTTGAAAATATGAATCCTCTACAGTTGCTGTGTGCTTGTCACCGAATTCCTATCGATTGTGCTTTGGAACGTGGCCGATGTACGTCGTTTGTATGCCAAGGCTATGTCGCAAGGCACCACTATCTGGACTCTCGTACCTACACTYAGAWTTCGATTCAAAATTACCCTTTTCATCAACGATGAACTACTACAGTGCAGTTGCACCTAWGGGTCATAGATCAYGTGCGCGCYCCAAGTAGTCTGTTGACTGCATAACATTTGTTGTGCGTTTGGTATGTCAGGAAGAACATGATAGCATTTTGTGCAGAKTTTCAATAGTAACTCTATGTACCTTCTACCTGGACCACTGTCCAGAATCAACAGGACTGGTCTGCCTGAAATATCCTCCTCAGCTGCATCCAGAAAAGATAGCTTCATTACATTGTCTTCAATAGATTCATTCCAGCTATTTTGTTACAGTTTGCAGTGATGCCATTTTCAACTGGTCTAATGCAACCATAGACACACTCACTTTGAGGTACTCCTTTGATGAAA